CATTGGCGTCCCGAGAGGACCGTAGGAATCAGTCGTTCACATTGAAATGAACGAATGACTTGTTGCATTTATATCCGCCCCTCGACCTAGTCGCGCTACGCAGAGTATTCGGGGGTCTCGCTGCCTGGTCAGCGAGCCGGGGGTCCAGGGGGCGGCGCCCCCCTGGCCAGGGGGTCCGGGGGGATGGTATACCCCCCGGCGGGGTTCGGGGCAGCGCCCCGAAGCTCCACGATATACACCAGGCGCGGAATGTCGCGTTCGGCACTTGAAACGTGAATGTCGCGTTCGGCACTTGAAACGTGAGGGTCGCGTCTGGCACTTGAAACGCGAAGGTCACGTTTTGGTTTGGCGACATGAGGGTCGCGTTTTGGTTTGGTAACGCGAATGTCGCGTTCTTCAGTGTTGACGCGAGGGTCGTATTTTGACTGGGAAACGCGAAGTTGAAGTTCGCGTTCAACGAAGGCTCGAGGTCCGCGTTTTGACTGGACAACGCGCCATTGAGGGCCGCGTTCAGTCTGGTTCTCGCGAAGCTCATGTTTGGGCTCATCAACGCGAAGTTCAGGGTCGTGTTTAGGCTCACGAACGCGAAGTTCGCGTTGGTTGGAGAATCGACTTTCTCGAAGTTGTGCTCGTCGCTGAGACCTTCTTCTTCGCCGAGCAGCGTTCTTCTTGGCCTGTTTTAAGGCTTTTGCAGAGGCATCATCGGCGTTTATGGAGCTCGTCTCCTCTCTAAGCCGTTTATGGCCTGAAGCACATCGTGTTGACGCGGATGTGGGACATTCAACTCGCTGGGCGAGTTCGGCTGAGGCTAAGCTCGCTCCTGAAGCAGAGTGACTGTTCGACAAATTGCGGCCAAAGGAGAGGACTTTCTTCGGCACTCCAGCAACAGTTAGAGATTTATTCTCCTTGGAGACTTTGTGGATCTTGCGCATAGCCTTGGGGCTAAGGGATCCGGAAGAGATAGCCTCCTCAAACTTGGCTTGATCAAACTCTACCACGAGAGTTTCGACAGTTGTTCCAGTGAGATGAACATCGGATTGCACCACCACTTCTTCGTCACAAAACCTAACTCCCCAGCAGAGTCGCCATCTTTTGTATATAGGGAAAATTGCAAAGAAGAGAATAAAGAAAATTTGACTTTGATTCCTTTGATCTCGGTTACAATTTGATTACAAAAGAGAGGAAAACGAATTTGGCTTTCCCCTTTGTTTCTCCAAAAATCCGAAGAAGCCTGAACTGAATTGATCTTCAGTTATTTATAGAGGATTAAGGGGGTGAAACCGCCCCTTAAATCTCTCCTAAGTGGGGTGTAACCGCTCCCAAATCGTGGGAAACGGTTTTAGAACCGTTCAACTCGTGTTGAATGAGTCAAACGCCCACGTTGGCGTTCAGGACCCTAACCTCACGTCTTAGGATTGAGACGCGAGGTTGGGTGTTGGCTGAACATTGATGAACGCGAGGGTCGCTCGCGTTTTGGTTTGTTGTAGCTTAGAAACGCGGGGGTCGGTGTTGGCTGGACCCCTACGAACGCGAGGGTCGCTCACGTTTCGCCTGTTATAACGCGGGGTTCGACCGCGGGGTTCGACCTTGGCGTTCTGAATTTGAAACGCGGGGTTCGACCCTGGCGTTTTGATGTTGTGACGCGGGGTTCGACCTTGGCATTTTGATGTTGAAACACGGGGTTCGACCCTGGCGTTTTGATGTTGAAACACGGGGAGGACCTCCGCGTCTTGCCTTGCGGAAATTATCACCAAGTAATCTCTTTTTGTCATAGCGTTGCAAAGATCATTGTCTTGTAATCTTCGTCTTGGCTCCTTGAGAATATGAGAGTCGTCAGATTGTAACTCCCGATGTTGATTGTGAAGGCTGTTGAAGTAGAGCTTCCATCAGTTGTCGTGAAGGTCGTCAGATTGTAACCTTCAGCAATCTACGCGAAAGTCTTCGAATTACAGCCTTCTGGAAGTCGTCAAATTGTAACTTCCATCATCGGTGGTTGATGGGGGATAAGCTTTCTATTGTGATTTTTAGATAGCCTACAGCTAAGAGGTAGTTATCTTAGAGATGCTTCGTATTTATGTAATAAGAGTCTTTCGACTTATTAGAGTGAACTTGTTACAATATAATTTTTGCTCTGAGATTTTCATATATCAACAAAGTTTCTTTTCGTGTGAAATCTTATTTATAATATGAAAGTGCACAGCAGGCTTAGCACGTGCTTTTGCATATGTTGTCATTGTCATACAGCTCAAACTATGTAGCACATATGGGGGGCGTGACATTAATAGCCCGAGAGTGGATTTCTCTAGACAAAATGTGTTATTCCTTCCCAAGGACGCTTCCTATAAACTTTAACCATGGTTTCTAATCAACAATCGTATGTATGATTGATTATTAGATTTTAATGGAACTAATTATGTAGGGATATTTTCTAGAACATATCACATGTAAAACAATTTCTCTAATTCAGGTTGACATGATCACTATCAGCTGAATGGCAAAATATGGACTCTAGAGGTAGCCCACCTATATTATGGTGTAGTCCATAGTATGCTATCATGCAGTTTTAATTTCATACAATTTAATTCAACTTGGTGTTAGCACTTAGTACTGTTATCATGCCACCCCATTCCTCTCCCGACCCAAAAAAAATAATAAATAAAGAGCAAGAAAAAGAAAAGCATACATGTTTTCTAGAAAATGTAAAGGAATCCTAAGAGATCATCGATCCCACCTAGCAACAACAAACAAATACAGTTAATTATAGAGATTTATATATCTCCTTAGAAATGCTTGCTACAGTTAGTTGTCTGAGTTTGTTGAGATTATTATACACCAAGAGACACCCTCCCCCTTGGCACAAATCTGATGGGCGACTGTTGAATTTCACATGGGAGTAGAACAAGCATGTGCACGCATGCGCGCGCACAAAAGAGTACCATACATGAACATTTCCTCACCACTGATCATTTTGCTTACCTCATAAATCACAAGGGACAAAAAAGAACTGCAGAAGAAGCGTTTTTAGACATATAAATCCCTTCATTTTTGTTGATGAACCTTCACTTTTCATACTTTCCCACCAACTAGTTTTTCTTTCTTTCTTTTTCGGGAGGAAAGCATGTTAATCCTTTATTTCTTATAAAAGCATAAAAACAGTCTTTAAATAAATAACAAATCCCTGTCAAAAGAAAAAGAAAAATATTGTACGCCCCCCTCTATGGACTCTGCTGCAGGCTTGTGGTTCCTTAACTATCCAACTTCTACTATGAGTCACTTCTCAGGTAACTAGTTCCTTAATTCTTCTAAAGCTTCTATATGCTCCATTATTTGTTCAATTTTTTCCTTCTTGATTGATTTGAATGAAGGGAAAGCAAAGGAAATGTATAAGTTTTCAACTCAAAAACAGATGCAAGGAAGAGAAACAATTTTTTATAAATACTTGGAAATACCTTAATGAGTTATTGCTTTTATAACATCAAGGTTTTTCCTGGTTTATTGTCAATACTTAGATATTTCAGAGCAATTAAGGGCTCTTTTGTAACAAAGGTATGAAATTAAGGGTGGCTTCATAGTTTCCATCTCTCATTTTAAACAAGTTATTACTTTTTGTTTCTATTTCTTGCTTATCTGTTTGATGATTTGCACCTTGCAGTGAGTTTTAATGTGGCAATAAACTTTCACCTCAAAAAGATAGTTATGCTAACCATACAAATTCCAATCTGAAAATTACCTAATACACGAAAGGCACAACATGCTCCTAAATCCGAATTCACCATTCTCATAAGGAATTATACCAATTGGGAATTGTATATAAGCCCTGTCAACCGTAAGCAGCAATTATAAGCCCTATCCATGGCTGGTTCGCAAACAAAACCCTCATGATGGAAGATGATAGTACAAGTGAGTTCTACACTCTTACTCCAACAACTAAAGACCCTTATTAACTACATCCCTACTGCACCAGACTAAGAACCACACAAAGGGCGCCATAGGCTAAATTGGCCAGGCCAGAAGTAGTAATCAATTGCTCCTATATTTCACAGGATCTGTCTCTAGTTTACCTTTACTTTCAGTAGTAGTTATTATTCAGATAGTGATAAAGTGTATCTGCACGCATCTGTGATGCATATCCATGTGCATACATGTAGACAAATTATGGCCAGGCCATATTCTTAAAACCATCCTAGGCAACTACCTCTGTCACACAGGTAAGTCGAATGCTTCTCCTTGTTACTTATTTTAAGCCCTAATCAAAGAAGAAAATTAAACATGATCATATATGTTTAGGTGTATGTTTCAAACCATAACCTGAATCAGAACAAACTAGTTCTGCATTTTAAGTTCCAATATGGTTATGTTAGGTTAAAAGTTCAGTCTTTTTGGCACCCACACCTTAACCTACTTGATCTCAAACTCATTATCCATTTTACAGAAAAATCAGAGTACTAGTGAATAGTGACATAAGCTACAGACAGTCTAAACCCACCTCCGCCAACCCCCCACCCCCAAAAAAGAAGCATTTTGTTTTCAGCCCATCTCCTCTACCTCTTCCCCCAATTGTCAGTGTCTTTCCTGGTCTCCTAACAACAGATCCCTACAAAGATCAATAGAAAATCTATCTCTCTATTTCTATTTATTCCCTCTTGTATCATATGCAGGTTGGATTTATCATAATCCTATAACCACTTGATTGGGAGCTAATGCTTATTTCATATGTTATTCACAAATCCTGCAGTATGATTTTGTTTCATCTGTTATTCACAAATATCATATGGATGAAACTCAAGTTTGTACTATTTGACTTCTATAGAAAACTAGGAGAAATTTAACCATCTTCCTGTAACACCCTAACATACTTCAACATTCTAAATACCACCACATGCAAGCAATATACACAAGAACACAACAAACTGAATAGCCCAAAAGAAAGTAAACAACAATAATAATATTGCATAAAGACACAACATCTTCCAACAAGGGCAAAAAAAAAGATCGCATACCCGCCATTTTCTCCCCGAGTCCCAGTCCTGCAGCAAGCTTCGCCATCTCCTTCCTCGAAGCATGCTCCAGCACCAACTTCCTCAGCTCCTCCTCCTCAAACCTTGAGCTCAAACCAAACGCCACCACCATCTGAAGAAATATCTGCGCCTCAGCTGCACCCATCTCTCCTCCCTCCTCTTTCCCACCAATTTTCTTCCTCCACTCAACCGCCACCTCTGCCGCCCTCTCCCTAATCTTCTCTGAGACCTCTGGTCCTTTCCTCCCCTCCGAATCAAACAAAGCCCTAAGCAACATCCCAATCGCCCAACACCGATCTCCTCCACTCTCAACACTCTCTCCCTGATTCAAGAAATCATCAACAGCATCAATAACCAATCTACAAGCATCCACCGACTCCATAATGGCTTCATTAATCTCCCTCCTCAGCACAGAAAGATCCTTCCGATGAGCAATCATGAACTTCCACAGATTGCTCGAGTCCATCCTCCTGCAGTACAACCGCAAGAACTCGCCTTTTGTCGACGGGGTCTTGGATTCTGCATTCTCCATCTCTTTAATGGCGGATTCCTTCTTGGATTCGATCAAGGCGGCGGCGGCAGATTCGCGATCAGGGATTGCGGCCTCACGGAGGTTGAGAGAGGCCATGGTTTCCTTGGTTTGGGAGTTCAAGGACTGGATCTTGGAGTCGAGGGCTCGGAAGCGTTCGGCTAGGGTTCTGGAGAGGGAGGCGAAGTGATCGGAGATGGTTTTCCATTGGAATGTACAGCTGTCGATTAGGGTTTTCTCGGCCTCGAGGTCGTTGAAGGTCTTTTGTATTTGGTTGGCGGGAGTTAGGGCTTCGGTCGCCATCGACGATGGCGGGAAAAAGGAGAAAGAGAAAACCCTAGAAATCGAAAGAGAGGAAGTGGATATTGAAGACGGAGGGGGGATAGGAGGGGGGATAGGAGAGGGTAGATGCGAACCGAATAACTAAGGGCTTGTTTGGATCGTGGGGAATGAGGGCGAAGGGAAGTTAGGGGAACCATTCACCTTCATTCATCTTGTTTGGGAACACTTAGGGCCTGTTTGGATTTATTGGGGGTGAAGAGAAGTTAAGGGAAACTGAGAGAAAAGAAAAGAATGTAGTTCCCTTCTCCTTGGTTACACCTCAATTTGGGGGGTAACAAATTTTATACTATTAGGGGGTGAACCAAGGGGAACTAGGGTGAATTAACTTCACCTCCTAAGTGTTCTCAAACAAGATGAATGGAGGTGAATGGTTCCCCTAACTTCCCTTCACCCTCATTCCCCTCAATCCAAACAAGCTCTTAGGAGGTGAAGTTAATTCACCTCAATTCACCTTGGTTCACCCCCTAATAGTATAAAAATTGTTACCCCCCAAATTGGGGTGTAACCAAGGGGATTCACCTTGGTTCACCCCCTAATAGTATAAAAATTGTTACCCCCCAAATTGGGGTGTAACCAAGGGGATGAGAATTCACTTCTCTTCCCTTCCCTTCCCTTCACTCAGTTTCCCTTAACTTCCCTTCACCCCCTACGAATCCAAACAGGCCCTAAGAGCAAAGAGCAAGTACAGCAAGCTCCCAGTTGAGAGTTCTAGTCACCATGTTCTCAAGAGCTCTCAAGCATTTTAGAATAAAAAAATTAATAAATTAAGTTTTGAGAGACACTCCTTCTTTTATGGAGCTCTAACTAGCTCCTAGTTAGGAGCTCCAATAATATCAAAAAAAACCCTTTTCTATTTTAATATTTTACCCATTACTTTTAATTATATTTAAACCTCTTGTATTTTATTTCTAACCATTGGATACGGCCTTCGAAGGAGCGCACACGGTCTTCGAGGCAACCCACGGTCTTCGAGGGAGCGCACACGGTCTTCGAGGGAGCGCACACGGTCTTCGAGGTAACCCGCGGCTTTCGAGGGAACGCACACGGTCTTCGAGGTAACCCACGATCTTCGAGGTTGGGCACGAAGTTCGAGGTATCGCAAACTTTGACCGTCAACCGACTGATTCCTATAAAATTCGATGGCTTCTCTCCTCAACCCATCATCTCCCAGAATAAAATGTCTAGCTCATCTAACTCTAGCGATGATGAAATGATAAAGGCGTTCTTTCTTATGAGAGCTGCTGTCGTTAAGGAAGAAGAACAAGAGAAATGTTCAACTTCAGTTCAACACAAACGACGTATCGTGCTCCATCAAAAACCGACTGGAAGGTCACAATCGGTTATTCCAAGATTATTTTGCTGACGCACCAACCTATCCTCTTTATTATTTTCGTCAAAGGTTCAGAATGAGGCGTTCGTTATTCCTTCGAATCCACGACGCAGTCGTCGAACATGACAAGTACTTCGTCCAAAAGAGGAATGGTGCTGGACAGTTAGGACTATCTAGTCTTCAAAAGATTACTGCAGCTATGCGGATGCTCGCATATGGAGCATCCGCTGACTCCGTTGACGACTACGTTCGGATCGGTAAAAGTACGTCGCTTGAGAGCGTGAAGAGGTTCGTTCGATCGATTATCAACATCTTTGGGGAGGAATACCTTCGTTCACCGACTAATGAAGACGTTGCACGCCTGCTCGAGGAAGGCTCACAACGAGGTTTTCCTGGTATGCTTGGGAGCATCGACTGCATGCACTGGACATGGAAGAACTGTCCAACTGCCTGGCAAGGTATGTATACTGGACATTTTCATGAACCCACAATTATTTTGGAGGCCGTAGCTAGCAAAGATCTTTGGATATGGCATGCCTTCTTTGGACTGCCGGGGTCTCACAATGACCTTAATGTTCTACATCGTTCACCGGTTTTCGCACAACTTGCGGAGGGAAGAGCTTCACCGTGCAACTATACTGTCAATGGCCACGAGTATAATATGGGATACTATCTCGCCGACGGGATTTACCCAGAGTGGTCCACATTAGTGAAGACTATTCCAGCACCTCGAGGAAACAAGCATAAGTACTTTGCTCAACAACAAGAAAGCGCAAGAAAAGATGTTGAGCGAGCTTTTGGCGTGTTGCAAGCTCGATTTGCGATTGTTCGTGGACCAGGACGTTTCTGGCAACCTTGTGTGCTGAAAGATATCATGACAGCTTGTATCATAATGCATAACATGATCGTTGAAGATGAACGTGATTGTCAATTGGACAACAACTTCGACTTTACTGATTCGGTACCAGTCGTTGAACCTTCTCATGTGCAGACGGTACCTCTAACTGAGTTCATCCAAAATCATCATCGGATCAGGAACACGCAAACACACAAATCACTAAAAAATGATTTGATCGAGCATCTGTGGCAGCTTAAGGGATCCATCGCCGAAGATTAAGTTTCTTTATGTCTAATGTAATTTTAGAAAAGGAGTTCAAGTTGTTGTACTACGCCAATTTCATTTTCAATAAAGTAGTTGTTTTCATTCAATGCCAAATATTTTAACTTTGAGTACAATCATAAATCTAATATAAGATAATATTTGATAATTAGGAAGAACTAATGAGGATGCGATGCGAGTACAATATATGATAATTAGGAAGAACCCTTGGACATCCACCTCTCCAATATCTCTGCCTGACGCATTTCAAAGTATTGTCGTTGAACTGAATTGAGTGTTGAGAGATCGATCTTCATGATATCGTCATCTTGTTTCTTCTGTTTTAGCTCCATTTTTTCTTTGTTGGTTTGCTTCATCCACGCGAAAGCCTCTCCCATAATGGACTTAGCGGACTCAGATTTGTCCACATTTTGTTTCCTCTTGAGTTTTGCCGCTTTCCTCCCTTCAGGCCTTGCTATAAACATCATCTAAGTCAATGTTCAACTCGATGGGGGTCGCTGGCATGGAATTGTTTGGTGAGGAATCAGAGTTCGTGGTTCTTCTCGGTTGTGATCGAATCTTATTGTAAGTTTCCATTTGTTGGTTCCATTTTTGGTGATGATGCAACTCAACCCAGCAATGGTCTAACACGAATGGCTTACCATAAAGGGATTGGTATAATTCTTTTACTTCTGCAGTCTACACAAGAGTTAAATTTAGAATAATCAAACATATAAGTTAAATATTTACATAAAAACATATAAGTTAAATATTTACCTGGTCAATAATTCCCGTACCAGATCTTTGTCTTCCTTCAATCTGAGCAACGCACCCGCAGAACTTGTTGACCGACAGTTGAATCGTTGACCAACGGTGCATCATTTGGTTTGGTGTGCGACTTCGTTAGCTCTGTGCCAGAACTTATATTTGTGTTGCCCCGTGCCTTGGATGGAGTCTTGGCTCGTGTTCAGCCAAGCAGACACAAGAAGCTTATCCTCGTGGACGGTCTAATTTTCGGACCGCGTGTAAGCCTTCTTCTTCTTTGTGGTCGGTATTTCTTGGGATGACACTTGTTGTGTTGCGGATTGCGATAACTCGATGGGATGACCTTCTTCTACGACTTCTGTATAGAACGGCGAGTATAAGGTCGATCCTTCACCGGTAAGGAGTTGCGAATAGTAGTTGTTTTGGGAGGGATCCATGAGATTTTTAATTTGATAGGAAAATATAGAGTTTTTTTTATGAGAGAGTTGTGTGGAATGAGTTGTGAATTTATAGAGTTTTTCTTACTGTTCAACAGTCATTTTTTCACACAACGGTAATAATTTTCACTCAATGGACATTTTTTCACCCAACGGTAGTATTTTTCAATCAACTGTGAAGTTGAAAGCTAATTAAAAAAAATTTACATCACAAGCTCAAACTCTGGCAGCCAATTAAAAAAAACATCACATCCAACTCCTCTTCGTCATCTCCCCTTCTTCTTTTCCCCAGCTCATTTCGTTTCCCCAAATCATCTTCATTTTTTTTCTCCATCGCAAGCTCAAACGCCTCCACTCTTCTTCGTTTCCAACCCCGAACACCAACACCACATCCAACACCGTGGATCTCTGGCTCCCCAACCCACGGATCTCTGGCTCCCCAACCCCGAACACCAACACCGCATCCTCCGCCGCCGCCGATCGGAGCCGTCTTGAATGAAGACCATCTGCTGAAGTCCGCCGCCGCCGATCGGATCTATATTGTTGGAGCTCCTAACTAGGAGCTTGTTGGAGCTCCATAAATGAAGGAGTGCCTTCCAAGGCTTAATTTGTTAATTTTTTATTCTAAAATGCTTTAGAGCTCTTGAGAGCATGCTGACTAGCACTCCCAACTGGGAGCTTGCTGCACTAAGCCTTAGGAGTGGGGCTTGGGAGGGGTTAGGAGCTTGGGGGAGGGGGGGCTGCCGAATTCCACGGCCACGTCAGCCTTGAGAGCTCTGAACAGAGCTTATTGCCCTTGCTCTAAGTGTGTGTTTGGTAATCAATTTTTTTCCATTGTGTTTTTTTTAAAAAAACATCGTCTCATGGTGTTTCTTTTTCAAATGTGTTTTGAAAGCACCATTTTGGTCAAGCTAGTTTGACCATTTATATAGCGGCAGTGGGTGGACGGCGGCT